TCTTGTGGAAGTGGAAATCTCGGCAGTAAAATATCCAGATCAGCCAATGTTCATGAATGCGAAACAAATTATAGGTGCAATAAACTGCAGCAGAATCAAGAATCCAGAAGGTTAATAAGATAACCAGTATATTATCATCCAAGCATTCAAATGGTGTGTAACATTCAGTGAGTAAATGTTGACTTCTGTGAAGACAAATACCTAGATTTATACAGTGCCATACAAAGGATGGATAAACCTTTTCTCTAGAACAGGGGAACAGCACATGGAAAATTTTCTAAATATTACCATCTAAACACTTTGAAATATTTGTATGGTCAGCTTGCATTTCAAGCATGGTTTTGTTTTGCCTTCTCTCCAATACTCAAAGGCAGGGAGGAGAGCACTGTGGTAAACCTGCCTTTTTCTTCTGAACATTTTTCTTTCAGAAACCCCATAGCAGCACCAGTATATGCTTTTGCCGAGATACCCCTTACACATTTCAAACCTTGTTTGAAAAGCTATAAAATTAGATGCCAAAGATGTTATTTTAAAGTTAATAAGACATTTAAAACCAACTTTGTAGTTGTTGACATAAGCTTAACAAATTAGATAACCTGTTCCTCATCTCAGATAGTTGTTCTTTAAGAAAATAAAAAATTAAACCTTACTGATTCATTGCAGGGTTTTTAGTTATTAATGAATTGGGATTTTGGCTTTAGGATAACTATGGTTTGAATATATGTACACATTAAATGCTAACTAAGTCAAGAGAAGCAAATTTGTGTGTTGCTTCTCGATAGTTTCTTATGTTTCAAAAAGAGAGCAACTTCAACTATTTATAAACTGTAATTAAGTTTCTTTACAACATGACTCATTCTCAACAAGCAAGTCGTTTTTCTTTTGCTTTCCTATGAACTGTGTGGGAAAATTAGGGTTCAATCACTGAAGAATTTACTCAATGCTTAATTACCCAAAACAGCCTTCCAAATTCTGCTCATGTAGAGCTTTCATAAAGACATGATTTTCCCCACACTATGGCTTTCTAAAACTTTACTTTTAGAAAATGATCTGTAAATTGTAACATAGGAGAAAGCAGTGTTTTAGTATGGTGTTGGCTTCTTTCTCCCGTCTGCTTCTTTGAGCTCCTCTTATATTAACAGTGTGATGCTTAGGAAAGCCAAAGTAAGAAATCATCAGGATTAAATTACTTTCAGCATGGAACTGAATTAGAAAGCTTTACTTTCCTGAATGAGCTAATTGTTTAAATTTTCCAAAGGAAAATGTTTCTATTTCTGTGTGAGAAGGGGCAAATGGGACTTCCTCTGACATAATTTTCATCTTAAATCTGAGTTTGACAGCAAGATTTTTACCTTCATAACCAAATATTAGTGCTTAACTGCATGACTTGTATAAGCTTGCTAGTTGAAGTGACTCACTTACGTAGATGAAGTTATTTTTAGGGAGATAATTTGCACTGTTTAGAAGAGAGGAAAAAAGGGAGAGAGAGTCCTACTAAGAGCTAGATCCCTCATTATAGTTTACAGAGCTCATGAACCCAGCATCCAAGCAAAAGATGACTAAGCAAGGGGTCTATTGGTACTTTCAGGAATTTACAGACATGAGTCATCTGCTTATTTTCTGCAGACATATCACCAGGGTACTTTGTGAGTCAGCTGTTATTTGGAAATAGTACTTGTATTCAATGTGAATACGTTTTTGTAGTTCTTAGTCAACTAGCATGCCAAACCAAAGCGGGCTTTTATAGTTTGCCTAGTTCAGGTGTTGATTTACAAAAGCAGTGCGTTGTTTTTAACTATGATGCATTTTTCATAACAAAGTGTAAATGTTGTCTGGGATGTAATTATGATAACACCTTTGCCACTTTACATATCATATAAAGGCAGATCTGATGTTTTATTAATGCACAGATTGAGTCAGATTGCCTATACGACCAGGTAAAAAGAAGGATTAGCATCCTATGTGACTATGAGCAGAATTTGACCTTTTATCATCAAAGCACCTCGCTAAAGTTGATTACCAGTGGTATTTGCTTATTTTTCACGTACAATGAAATGTTTCACCTCAAATCCAAGCGTTCTGTGCACTCAGAGTCAGTGGACGGGCATCCACTGTGACGGAAGTGAGTTCTTGCCTTCCCTTCCTACTGCTGAAATAATAGCTGGCTACCTTGAGATATGTATAACACTTTACAACTCAAGGCTATTTCCTGTTTACTGGTCTTTTAGGTGTGGTTGTGTTCCAGAATTAGGGACAGGTTTTTTTACTTGGTCTGGACTCCTCTCACACCTTGTATTGAGGAAACACTTGGGTTAGAAAAATGGGAGTTGGGTGATTTTAGGTGAAGGGTAGTGTTAGAAATCAAAGGCAAGTCAGATTTTTCAAAACTCTACTTGCAGTTCAGAGTGATACTGTCCAGATGTGGGATGCACAATTTTAAATCTAATTTGATTATCTGATTTAACAGTTTATAATGTAAGTAATTCCTGAAAAATCCTATACAGGTTTTAGTTAAGAGAAGAAAATGTTTTCTGTTATGTTTTGGTGGTACCTTTGTTGGAAGAGTATTTTTATAATAGAAAGGCTTCTCATAACAAATGGAAGTGCCTCTGTAGTGAAAGCAATATCTTGATTATCCATTTAAACAGTGTTTCTAGTGCTGGATACTTTCTCTTAAGTGCAAACCTTTAGTTTTAGGTAACAGGAAGAAAACTGCTGCTTGCCCCCATTATGTAGACAGAGGTTTTCAAGGAAAGTTAATGAAAGTTAGAAATTCTCAAGTAAAGAGTTAAAGACTAAACTATTACTCAAGTGGTTTTTCTAAAGATCATTATTCCTTTCATACGGTGATAAAATACACAAGTATACAGAGTAGTTTTCCTTTAAGGAGTTGGTACTTAAGAAGGAAAAAGATGCACTAGAAGAACAGAGTTTAAGCACTCAGAGCTGAAGTAGTATATTTATAATGTTAAAACAGAGAGCCTGTCTCCTTGCTTCATACTCTTTTCCACGGTGAAGTCCTACAGGGGTTGTGGCACATGTACAGTCTGCGAGGCGAGGAGACGGTGTGCTTGTTGATAAATGGCCTCAATACACCAATGTTTTTCAGGATGGTTATTTAATAATCATGTTATAAAGAGGAATTTGACAGAACAATCTTTGAATCTAACCTTTGTTACCGCAGTGATCTGCCCTCAAATTAGCAGAACTCTGCCCATGTCATTACTGCTTAAATATCTGCTGGAAGCTGCCGTGTGAGCTGAGTCACCAGGACTCCGGGAGTTATCACGTGTAGCTCCGACACTGGGTCATGAACTGAGAAATGCTGTCGTCTACAGTGATTTGTTGTATTTTGAGACTACGGCAGGAATATCACATTCAGTTTTGTGTACTTCGCAGCTACAAAAGGTTTTACTCATAAAGTTTGGATGGCAATTTAGGGAAAAGGGAGCTATGGTGTGGCTGATGGACGTCCAAGGATTCAGGCATGATTAGAAAAACTGAAAAATGAAGGGACTAGCAGGCTGATAGCATGGGATTTGGAATAATAAAACCTGTCTTACACTGATACCTCAGTCTACAAGCAGAGATTTCAAAGGCAGTGATGGAATCTCTGCTCCATGAAGTATTTAAATGTAGAAAATACAGTGCATTACAAAGCGTACTGGAGGGGAGATCCTCTTGCACCTGAGGATGGGTTTAGTCCTGTAATATTCCTTTCGCTTTTTTCAAATTCTGTTTCTACTGATTTTGCCACCTGCTTTGATTCCTACTACAGCTATTATAATCTGTTTATTAACTTAGGAGTCTTTCCTTCTCTTGAAAAAGGACTTTGAAGTGACAGAGAGTACTGAGAACCCAGGCTTATATGAAAGAATTACAATCTTATTCATTTATTTCACTTATTGCTACACCAATAGGAAAAACTATTTAAGATTTACAGGAAGTTACTGTTCCATTTCAGTGTTCTTTCATTGTACAGAATTAAAGAGCTGTGATTTGGAGGTTAACAAAAAATACAGTCATAGGTGCTTTGTAAATGAAGTCTGTACCTTTAAAAGAGATACACATTCTGTTAACTTTGGTGTTAGATTAGACATTTAATGTAAATAATTCGAGTCTTTTGACATAACTCAACTACAGATTTCTGAAGCCCCCTGAAATTAAAAGTAGACCAACAAAATCTAAACTATGAGTCTAGGAATTAAAAAGTTGTTAAAAAACAGTTTCTGACCATTTTATTAACTCTTGTAGACTATTTTATTGTTCTGTCAGACCTAGCTGATCATGAGACAGTGATAAGGAAAAGGAAGTAAATGGTTCTGATTTTTATTTTTAGTGAGATATTTTAGGTATTAATGACTTTGCAGTGTGTTTTTGGTTTTGTGAGGTTTTTTTTGTCTAGCAGATGACAAGTTGAGATCTTTTCCAACACATGTGACTGAATCTTTCTACATCCTTTATCAAATCATTTAACCACTTTAAGCCTCAGTCAGCTGTAAAATGAGAATGATCATGGTTTTGATGTCTATAGGGGCACTAAAATTAGTTGTCTAAAGCAGATAAAGGGAAATTTGTTTCTTGAATGGAAAGCATAAACATAATGTATTGTGTGAATTTTTGAAATAGAAAATTTCACTATAAAGGAAAATAACTTATTTTTTCTATCAACAAAATAATCATGGTGTAAACATTATGATTAACACAGGAATACATGATCTAAACATTTTTTTTAATTATGTACTTTACAAAAATGTCTTGATAAAGCAAAGCATCCCATATAGCAATATGTTGGAATCATTACTTACAAGAAACACAGAAGTATATTTTAGGAGTAATCATCAATTTCTCCTTTTCTCTCACCATTAAATCAGTAGAAAGAAATTATATATTCCCAGTAAAAAAAAAAAAAAAAAAAGAAAAAAAAAGAAAAGAATGCAATTATGTATTTTTATGACCCTTTTTTTTTTCTTTTTTCTTGTTTTTTTCTTTTATTTCAGTCGACCTACCCCTGTACTTTCCTCGAGACCAACCAACCTTAACATTTCAGTCTGTCTACCACTTCACTAACAGTGGCCAGCTGTACTCCCAGGCCCAGAAGAATTACCCTTACAGCCCCCGCTGGGATGGCAATGAAATGGCCAAAAGAGCAAAGTAAGTCAGATTTCTGTTTCCTACTAAATATTCCATTTGTTATACGGTCATCTGTCAATGGAAATTTCATGGATTTAACTGTACATTTCCAGCATCACAAAAGCTGAACCTGGTTTTGTTCTCATCTAGTCCTAGCATTCCCGTATATGAGTATAGGCAGATACTTCATTAGTCATGCTTATTACATTAGTGCCAGAGGACTGATTAAAAGAAGACTCTTTCTGCCAGGCATCATATGGGCACAGAGCAGTGACAATCTTTGTTCCAGAACTTCCACTCTAGGTAGACAAGGTAGCCCCTGGCAGGAGTAATCTGCATGGTAGCAGTCAGTCAAGGTAACAACATGGGTTTGCGTGGGTGTTGAGGGGACCCTGAAGGGAAGCATGTGAGATGGAGACAGCAAGGGAGAAAAACCTGAAAGATAGGGAATTAAGCTGTAGTAAAAAGGCACGGGAGGACATGAGGAGGTAGAGCAAAACTCCAAACCGGCGTAGGACGCGGTCCTATCAGAACTTGAGAAAGTTACTTGGAAGGCTGAATATGTCTTTACTGCTTTTTCTGTTGGCTAGAAACTGCATCTCTGACTCCGTCCTCTGCAGTTTTTCTGCAAGCTCTTGTTTCAGGCTGGGGAGACACCACTTCAGCCCAAGTATCCCCTTTAGTTAGAGATGACAGGACAGCCTCCCCAGGGTGGTTTTGTTGCAAGGGCAAGCTGCCATGGGCAGTGGTGCACCTTTTGTATACTAGACATTATCCCTGGTTGGTATTGACAGAATGAAGCAAGACAGATTCTACCTGAATGGAACAATATGGGCAATGGCCTCGCTGCAGTATTTTGATTTTGGAAAGTGTAAAAGCAGGGTGATTATCAGTCGTTCTGCACGTAAAGGCATCAAACTGCATAAATAACAAGGCATATTGAGGTGAATGTTTTGGATGACAATCAGAAGATGAAATTAAATTAGCAAAGATGCATAAATAAGAGTCGAATGAAAATAGTTCAAGCTGAGTAAATTAAATGAATGGCATGGTCAGAGACTGATTGTAATTTGGAAATGATGGAAGCAAACAATAATTGACTGAAGCATTTGAAGATTTCATAGTAATTTAAATTTTATGGAGAACATCAAGTATCATTTGATTTTGGATTTTGATGCATTGTAATAGAAATTTTTTTACTACTTGATTTTACGTCTGTACTGTCTAGGACAGCCATTTCTTGATCAAATATGATTTTCTTTTTGTGGAATTGTTTCTTTTCTCTAGCAGAATGAGTATTTTGTTTAAAAAAGAAATATCTATATATACAACTGGAAGCATTACTTTGGCTTTTTTTATGACCACAGTACAAAATGCATTTCTTTTGCAGCTGGAAGTTTAGAAGTACCTATGTGCTGTTTGCTAAGTGCGTTCATTTATGAGTGGGTGTATACAAATGGACTTCTCTGCCCTGCACTTGAAATTTGGAAGTATTATACCAGTTTTTTTAAAAAGCACTAAATGTGTACGCTTACTATCACATGTACGTTTTGTGAGGTTATTCACTCTTATGTTTGAGCCTTTGCATTTAAGTTTTACACTAGATATGTAATATGAGAAAGATGATGAGAAGCGGGGGAAGAAGGCATGCTGCAATGTCTGAAATAGCTATCACAGAGCTGCAAAGAGACAGAGAAGCTGCTCTAGTTAAAAGCGCTTCGCTTGCAGGAACAACTAGTGATTCCTGAGTAGGTACCATAAATAAATCTGTATCAAGAAAAGTATGATGTTATGATACATGTAAGCATATTTTAAGAAAGCTTTTAACACAATTGAGCACCTTATGTAAATAGCATTTAAAATATTTGCTAGAGCTTCTTAGAATAGTTTAGTGTGTTTCAACACAACCAAATAATTTTTCATTTTACTTTATTTTTACCATAGCCACCTTTGGACCAAGTATATGGAAATATATGTAGATATATAGGAAAGTGTTCTAATTAAATATATTAGTTCAAGCACCACATCAAAACATCAAATAAAGCCAGAAAAGAAGGACACATGATTTAGCCTCTAGAAGCAATGTAATTCTGCTCAGCTGAAGTAAATTTAGCCCTGGATAAATCGAAGACAACTTGTTTGTGTTTCTGAATACTGTCTATTAGGTTTTGCTTATATGTAGTCTTTTTCCCTCTTAGCCAAATGGTCTCCCAAATGCTTGGCATCCTTTGAGACAAAACAGCTCTGTTTATCTTTCAGGCCCTACTGTTCTGTGGCCACAGGATCTCCCACTTGATGTTCTGGTGACTGACCAAATTGTCCGCCCTTATTCTCCGACAGTTGAGGGATCAGTTTACACCATCTTCCTCACTGTAGCTTAAGATGCCATAAAGGACAGCTTTTGCTTGCTCTTGCACCAACTGGATTCAATAGCTCTCCAGTTATGTATTGAATGAAGCATGTTTACTGTGTTGCTTTATAGAACGTAGAAGGACCACTAGGTTTGAAATTCTGTCACTAAAAGATTCCTTCACCCTCAATTTTGGCAAGCCCTGCCTCTGTTTTCAGCTACTCAACACAACCTGCTTATTCATGGGCAGAGCTGTCATAAGTTCATGCCAAAGGGACTTTGATTCTGTGCCCAGCCTTTTCCCAGGGTTGTTTTTTGTTGTTTTGTTTTGGGTTTTTTTTTCAAACAGGTGAGCCCATCCAATTCCTTCAACTTGGGGACTAAACTTGAAAGTCTTGGTATCCTCCCTTATCTTTATGGCCCCCAGCAGAGGTAGGCATCTCTTTTGAAGTTAGGACTTAACCCTTTGCTGTAGCCTTGAGACAATCAGTAGTAAGTATAAGTAGGAGCAAAATTGCTCCCCTAAAATGCATACATATAGAAGTAGATTGCATGCATTCATACTTAGACACATATCATCTAAATCTAAAAGACAGATTCTCAAATCAGAGTATCAGTTTAGTAGGAACTTCTTCATTCATGGAGGAAAAACTGCTCATGTTCTTGCTGAAGTAATTGGACAAATTTATGCCTGATAAAGTCCGTGAAATCGAGTTTCTCTTTCTCTGTGTCCTCTTAAGCAGTTTTTAAAATCACCTGGCTCCTTTGGGGCCTGCTGGCTTAGATTCCTCTCTGAGAGATGGCATCTGGTAACTGAAGCTTGCTATTGTCTTAGCCCAGGGATTGCCCTCTGGCTTGATTTAATTCTAAGGGACGAATCAGGTCCTGATTAAATAATATGATTCCAAATGCCTCCAAATTGCTTGTTTCTCAACTAAACGAAAAATTTTAACCTGTTCCTCCAGCTAGAAACAGGGAAACCAAAAACATTAAAATTTTCTTAAAAGCTGCCAAGATGCAGTTTCCTGTCAGTTCACATCTCAGGCTTTGCCTCTGTTAGGTCATTTATTTATATGTCTGTGGCCTCCTGCGTAAGCAGCCTCTAAAAGATTTGGTCCTAAAATACAATAGCAAGCCTAAGAAAATACGGTAAATTATGGAAAGTTAGCACCCTTGTTTGTGGTGTACGTGTGAAGTAAAACATCTCTGTGCGGTTTCCATGGGAAAGCTCTCTTGTTTTTTGCTTAAATAGGCATTCAAGTGTACATAAATGGAGTCTTTAAAGAACATGCAGACTCAAAGCCTGGGATTTTAAGAAGGAATACTGTAAATAAAGCTTGTTTGTTTATACAAATTAAGTTCAGTTCTTAGATGCACTCTGGCCCAATTTCTGTCTGACCCAGTGCTGCTCTGTAGACTTAGGTTGTACTCCAGAGAGAGCAAGTCAGGACTCGGTTTACTCTTTTATCCTACATAAATCCACCTACTTGTCATTAAAAATAGCAGGAGGATGGAAAACTGGTATCACAATAAAAAGTTGTTCTGAGGGTTCATATTCTTTTTTTCAAGGTGGATGATAAATCTGGTTTCTGAATAACATTCTTGTCCCTGGCCTTTCACCAGTGTCTGCTGAATGTGGTGTTAATTTTACATATTCCCCAAGGCTCTGTAAGGGTGAAAGCCTAAAAGGGCTTAAGTGCTCTCAACTGTGTGTTTGCTGTTGCTCTGCCATTAGGTCAAGTGCAGTTTAAGATTGTATGCAGATGGATCTTGTGCGATCTACATGTGTATCACCAGCACGGCTGGCTACCTGGTTTGTGCTCAGCATAAGCCTGCTATGATTAGAAAGTGTCAGGCTGGTGCACTGGGCCGTAGCATTTTCAGCCTCATCAATACCTTTTCCTTAAGTATCATCAAATCAGATGATGTGTATCGTGTGAAGGTGCTAGTTGCTGTTTGGCTGAAATGGTTGCTTTAATCTTTTATGTTCCCTAGTAAGGAGAGGAAATGCATTTTTTGGTCTACTAAAAGGATATTTGAAAAAAAGCAGACAATTGCTGTGTTACTGTTTAGACAAACTCCATTGTAACATGTCAAACAACAACTTGCTGTTCTTTCAGTACATTTTGACTGCCTTCATTTTTTTTTTAATATTGACATTAGGCAGTTTTTCAACTCATCCATGTTTTTTATTAGCAAATCAAAATTCTTTCACTTTTTAGGCAGACTGTCTATTACTACATTTTGCATTCTTTTAAAGTAACAGATTTCACTATTTCCTTAAAACTTTTGTTTTCTACCTATGCTACATTGATTCTCACTATAAAGTTTACATGCAAACATTAGATCTTTTTAATAATCTTCTCTCCTAGATAGGTGTAATTAAGGTAATAAATAATTTGTTATTATTTGGTTTGTATTTCAGTATTTTTCCTGCTTATTTGTAAAAGTAACAAATTGTATTTTCATGTATTACATGATTTTCATGCACATTAGGCATCTTTAAAGAGTGGATTTCCAAAAACTAACTTGTTTGCATTCACATATACTCTTCTGAGAGAGCTTTTTCTTGGCTGTCTGGCTCTGGCTCTGTTGCATGTTACCTTAAATTTAAGAATTTTAGAAAAACAAGCGTAGGGATCAGAACTACAAAACATAGGGACATCATCCT